ATACATACATACATACATACATACATACATTTATAACACACAGACAGAGACAGAGACACACACAAACATATATATATATATATATGCCCATATATACTTCAGAAAATGGAGAAAATCTCAAAAACACATACACACAATTTTTGATATCATGAGAGAGTACGAACGTACATGCATACACGAACTTGCAGGTTCCGACATGGACGCTGCAAATAAGACATCTACACAGAGCTGCCTGCCGAGTATTACTAATTCCGGTCTTTGTATACAATGAAGCAGTTGTATTTCAACTTGTCTCGCCATGGCCCAAAACTTAGAACCCAGGTGCCTAAATAGAGGACCGCGCTATTGTTCGAATTAGGATCGAAGAACCTTTTCAGATTCACATACCCATAGTACAAGTGTCGGAAACTTCGACGGCTCCTTCATAGACGTTTCACACGGGAGAATCTGCGCCCCAATAGAAAAAGCGGATTAGTCACGCGCAGCTCAGGCACAGTACTGCAGCCGTAGTACATACTCTGGCCAATCAGAACAACACAACAGTTCGCATATACACAGTGTACTCTGCCGTGTTAATTGTACCAGAACGATTATGTGATGCCCCGCACACTCCACCTACTGGTATGCAACTGAAAGCACTTTAGGATCAAACCGTATACACACTATGAACCTGCGGCGCATATTGGCAGGCGCGGTTGCATCGGTCAAGGACACAAGAAGCTTAGACTAACAAATGACCACTGATTCAGACCATGTACGATAAGCATCAGGATCAATTTTCCAGGCTATAGACAAAGAGAAGCAATGACTGTGAGACATGAGGGGTAGATAAGTACGACTACCTGACGGTACTATCTACCCCTCGCTCTCCCCACTGGGCATGCCCTCTCTGTGCCACTGAAGAGTACTGAATGCAGAGCTGCATCAGTTAAGTACACATCTTCGTATAGAAATCTGGTTGCAGTCCAGAGGCTATAGCACAGGTATACTCGGGAAAGACTTGTCAAGCTCTGGGCAAGGCTGGACAAGGACTGACAGACATGAATCAACGGTTACCATGGCAACGTGGTATCACTGTGTACCCTCTGCTACGCCATAGGCTGCCCGTGCCACCGAAGACTTCTAATTCACTTGAGAGCACGCACGAGGACTACTCAGGCTACACAGACTTCTGTCTCAGCGGTCACCTGCTGCCAGGTGGAGCTGCGACTGACAAACAACAATCGGATAAGCTGCTCTTGTGGTACACATCACAACCATACAGTGAACACCATGCGAATGCAGCACAACACCCACAGTCCTAGTGGTAGTTGGTTGGGCCGGGTTTATAGCTATACATATAGTGCAAGTGATCCACGTATTGGTTGGTATGGAGAAGACATTCGTCTGTGCTATACTACCTAACACACATGCGCACGTACCACTCCGATGCCTTCGAAGGCGTAAACTGCAATCCCGAAGGTGACGGCGACATTCCTGCAGGTGCGGCCGGGAGAGAGACATAAATTTGTATGAACACCGACTCATAAATATACGCAATTCACCGTTTCAGTGTATCTGTATATCATGTGATATATATATATATACATATCATGTGTTATATTCGTACTTCAGGAGAGGCTCAGCTAAGGGGACATGTGGCCAACGCAGAACCCAAGCGGTACATTAGTGCTACAGTGATGCATGGGATTAGAGCTGCTCGCACACACCTCAGTGAATCGAATGTTATGCAATGCACTACACCGTACGATATATAATGGTGGTACGCAATATATGCCATCAAGCTAAAGATAAAACGGAAACGGAAACGGAAACGGAAACGCAACTACGGACGCCATGGGAAGGGAGCATGCAAGCAAGTGTACGGATAACATCTAGGAACAACACATAAGTACTGTACAAGATATGACTTTGTCATAACAGCATGTACCAACGATCAAGTAGCAATAGGTAATTCATATTTGGGGAAAGCGCGGGTAAACCGTTTGAGAGACGCACATTACACAACGCGAAAAAGCGAGCGAGCGAGAGAGAGAGAGAGAGATGCGTGCGGGTGCTGGTGTTTGTACATCCATACATAATATGGATTCAACCACACCCGTACATAGCATGTAATAAACTAGATCCGGATACAACATATGTGTAACATGTACACAATGCACTCGACTAGCGCTCCCCAAGCTTGTTCGTCATGCCAGAGGTGCAATGACATACTTCCAGATGACAAACTCTTCGATGTCGTACGTTTGATGCGGCAGTGCTCGGGTGGACATCTGGGGAAGAGAAACAAGCGCTCGATTATGGGCAAAACCATATACAAATAACATCTCCTCGATTGTGGCCAAAAACAAATACAAATAACATCACCTCGATTAGGGGCAAAGCCATATATAAATAACATCACCTCGATCATGGACATAACCATATACAAATAACATCGCCTCGATTATGGGCAAAACCATATTCAAATAACATCACCGGACACGTCTGAAGCAACGAGACTATAATGCACTTGTGAGACATGCCTGAGAGAAGGCGCAGACCACAATGATGAACAGGCCCGTCAATAGAGATACATTCGCGGCCATGGAGAAGGGCGCTATGATCGACATACTGAGGAGTGACAAGTAGGTAGGGATGAGCAACAGGCAATGAATCGGTAAGGAACAAAGGAACAAAGGGACAGTCGTGATGGTAACACAATGGAGACTATATATATATATATATCTATTTATTTATATATATGGAGAGAGAGGTGCTGTGGATATAATCGCTGACAGCCGTATATAGACGAGTGTGCCTTTGTGCATGGACACATCTACTGCGCACTCTGTTTGTGCGTGTGTTTGTACATGGTATATTTGTAGGTCAGATGAGAGGACCACTTAAAGTTATAATTTAGCTGTTGAGTCTGAGCGACGGTAGTTTGCCACAAATATGCGTGTGCGCGAAGGGAAGCGTTTGGTTCAGTATGACACACACCAGAGAGATTGAACCGGTGTATGAGAGCGACCGGCAGTGCCACACATTGTTTATATCTATGTGTGATTCATACATATACACAGCACACTCACTTACTCACTCACTCGCACACATATAATGGCATGAAATGTACGTATCCATATAGGGTGAATACATATATATTGCGCACCCACACGGCCACACATGCAATAAGACCGCATACTTGAACACATGCAATGGTATGCAACGTACAGCACAACCTACATATGGACTATACACATACACACCACACCCATACACATACACAATATGGACTATACACATACACATCACACCCACGCACTTGTACACATACAATAACAATCAAGCACACGCACGCTTACAACGCATGTGCACATCACAACAAAGTGAGTAATGCAACGGCAGTCGGCCACGTACGTTCGGATGAAGGAGGTCAGGATGAACAGCGGGGCAATGACCAGCAGAATGGTCTGCCGCTCCCACGGTATGAACTCAGTCAAGTTCTCCGACACAAAGACTGTGGGAAATGCGGGGCATAAGCACGGTGGCGTATTATGAGTGGGTGAACAGAGTGTATGATCTAAGGGGTTGCCACAACGACGGTAGACAGTGGTGTATGTATATATCGTCGCGCAGTATAGGTGAATGAATAGATATGGGATGTGCGTATGATCTAAGGGGTTACCACAACAACAGTAGACGGTGGTGTATGTATATACAGCCGAGACTACTTCACCCAGAAAAGTGAAGAATGGGTGAGTGGCCAAATGGCGGGTACGAGTTTGGTGGAGAGCTGTGGTACAGCGATTGTGGACTAGCCGACATACACAGTGGATGAGTACGAGTGTGTATGTGTGGGTAGGCAAGAGTGGGTGGGTGCAGTTGGTAGACAGTTGCGATACAAAATGGCTATGCGCAGTCAGTGTAATGGATACAACAAACTGCTTATTGAATAACGAAATAAAACGGATTCGGTTTGAGTGGGAGTGGACATCTGCAGAATGGGGTGCGTTTGGGGAATGGCTCTGGTATTAAGTGTTGCTGACGTCACGAATGACATACTATAATAATAGTACGACACAGAGAAACGTACTCTAATGCAAACGATACCGTCTAACATCGTTGAGAATACGACACATGCATTGCCTGAGCAAATATAGGATACGTGTGCATTGTCCACTGGTGAAGATACGACACAAGAAATCAAACTGCGATGACAATACAAAACCTATGTTCAACACCGGTGAAACTACGACACTTATGCGTTGCCCAGGGGCATTTATTTTATTTTACAAACGTCTTACTCAGGTAGACACAGCAGAAGCCAAACTGAGTGAAGATCAGCAGAAAGTCAATCAGTCTTCCAAACCAACTGCAATGCGAGACAATCAGATCAGTGTGGCGAGTTAGTATGGATCGATTGTTGTGGACTGTATACGTGCACGTATAGTGATGTCCTACTATGCTGATCACATATGCATGTGTGGATACGCACACGTATACGCATAAAACAAAACACGTATACGCATAAAACAAATATGTGTATTCATGTTGTTACTTACACTGTACGTGTTTCACGAATATGACGATCTAATCATCTCATCGTGTTCGGCGTATTATATACATACATATACATCGCCGTGGTTGCACACGTGTGTCTGAGGGAAGTGTGGTCTACTATGCCCGACCACAAGTATGCGGTAGCCGTACTATAAATAAACATGTCGTGTCGTCTCCAGAGGATTCTATATTCTCTTCTACGGTGTTTGGCCTTTGTGACTATCTTGGGCGTATGAATTATAGTTTCTATATCAATTATTCACAATGTTCATGTCGCCCATACGACACAGGAATGCACCGCTGGCACAACCAAACGTTTGAAGCCATCGGCAAATTTTCGATGTTTGCTCGCTCCGATAAACACATCATGAGTGGTACATATATATATATATATATATATATATAATACCAAACAGGTGTATGCAGTTGTATTTTCAGATACATGTATGAGTCTATTCTCAATATACATTTCTCAAAAACGGTTTGCATCTAGCACTTAGCTATTCATGAGCACCTCGGTGTAACCCGTGTCCTGCATTGAGCATCACACCAAAATCCTTACCGCTGTTCCCCCATCGTGCTTGGGCCAACACCAATTGCGCACAAATGCATACCATACAGAGGCACAACGCATACAAACACACACATCTCTCGTGTCGGTCCAGATAGTACAGAACCCAACCTATATATCCCTTGATCTACTTACTTGCCGAATAGATGGATTCCTATATCCGAGAAGGAAACAACGCCTCGGCTGGCCAGGTGTTGCTTGGTCTTGACCAGCATCAGATTGCACGTGCTGGCAATCGCCCCTACCATCAGAAGCAGAAGCAGTGTAGTCTGCACGCATGCGGTGAGAAACTAGCAGATTTGTATCGACAGATATGATTGCTACAAAACCCCAATGGGTTTATATTGACAGATACAACCATTATTACACCATGATAGTTACCCATATCATAGACTACAAGACGACATCTGCAAGCTGTTACATGACATAAGGATGTTCAATGGGGTGTATTGAGACCTAAGCGTGCAAGAGCCTTGGGTTGTTATGCTTCTCACATTGCTGTATAACTTTTGTGACTTCGGATTATCACAACATGCATACTGTATACTGCAATCCATTTAAACGACCTCTAGAAATCGGTCGGGCCATACTTTCTCGTGCACTGAGTATCAAAGGTTATGGGCAAATGGATGGAGCATTGATCTGCTGCCACATGTGTCGCAAAAAAACTTGTTTTTGGCACAGCTTGCGCAGTCAACCAATCAATATCATGTATAGTAATGATTGGTGTTCTCAATGCCACTTAGCAACCAATTCGACACGCACATCTCGTTGAATTCCACACAAGAGTACCGGACGACACACTCGCTTCAGAAGCGGATATATTTTTCATGGATGAGCGAATACGTTTTCGCGTGGATATACACAGTCGTACCAATAGATGCATACGAGGAAAAAAGATAAACGTACCAGGAAACCACCTTCTTTAAAGGCCGAGGGCAGACCAAGGATGCCCGAACCAACAAAGGACTTGAGCAGGTTCATAAAGGTCGCGGGTGTGCTGTGTAGGTAAGTCTCTGTGGTTAGTGTGCTACAAACAACGGTACAAGCCAACAAAGGACTTGAACAGGTTCATAAAGGTCGCGGGTGTGCTGTGTAGGTAAGTCTCTGTGGCTAGTGTGCTACAAACAACGGTACAAGCCAACAAAGGACTTGAGCAAGTCCATAAAGGTTGAGGGTGTGATGTATAGGAGAGTGTCTGCGCATAGTGCGATACCTACAACTCTACAACCAAAGACATAAGGCGTATAAGTATGGCCTAAGGAAATAATGCTACACGACTATTTCTACATATAGTTATCGTAGAGGATTCAGTAGCGATGAAGATGCATATCAAGTGAAACCTACTTCTCCACCACGCGTTTGACCATTGACTATGTACACTCACGATACGCGCCAGTGGAATTTCCATCTTACAAAGAGTTCTATCTCAAAATAACATCAAAAGAACTCTTATAGCAACATATATCCTGCTAAAGGCTTGCCAACGCACACAGTACACGCTTGGTATGCACTTACCTTGTCGATCTTGCCCGCCCGTCTCCGTGCGGATCTGGACGAGATTTGAAGTGTCCCGTCTGGGTATGCAGTAGAGAAAGGTATGCAACACGCATTAATACACGGACTATTTTATGCAATACGCATTAATACACGGACTATTTTATGCAACACGCATTAAAACACGGACTATTTTATACAACACGCATTGATATAAGGACTATTATGTGCTACACGAATTCATACACGGACTTTTTTATGCAACACGTATTAATACACGGACTATTTTATGCAACACGCATTAATACAAGGACTATTTTGTGCAACACGCATTCATACACAGACTATTTGCGAGTACTGACAACGAGAAACGGTGCCCTATCTTATTGGCAACCCTTGGCGTAGACTTTTGATTTGAATGTTAGTCCCTTTGCTAAACGCGCACAATCCTATTTATTTGTCTGTGCGTTGGGAGTACACAACACTAAACAACTTCATACCATGTATGATAGGTGAAAGTGTGACGGTGAAATCGAAGCTTACATGTCTGTATACAATTACATTTCGCACATCTAGAAGAATAAACCTGGTTCTTAGAAATTATATATATATATATATAAACATAATATATAAATATATATACACACACATACACA